ATGTTTGATGTTTGAATCTGATATTCGAATCTGTGGGGGATTTACATAACACCCACAAACATCAATGAATCTGATGTTAGATTAATGAATCTGATGTTTGAATCTAATGTTTAAATCAATCTAATGTTTTGATGATGATTTGATGATGTTGCCGATTTTTGATGATGTTTTGATGATGGTAATTTTTTTTTAAATGAATCTGATGTTCTAAAGTTGCTGTTGTTCACGATGATGTTCATGATGTTCTGATGTTGCTGTTGTTCACGATAATGTTTGATGATGATTTGGTGATGTTGCCGATTTTTGATGATATTTTGATGATGGTAATATTTTTTTAAATGAATCTGATATTCTGATGTTGCTGTTGTTCACGATGATTCTGATGTTGTTGTTGTTCACGATGATGTTTGATGATGAGTTGATGATGTTGCCGATTTTCGATGATGGTTTGATGGTCGTAAATTTTTTTTAAATGAATCTGATGTTTAAAACATCCACAAACATCAAAAACATCAGATGTTTGGAAAAAGAGGAAAATCTAAAAAAGGTCTATAGTAAGCTTTTTGGGCAATTCGATAAATTACATATAAACACCAACCCAAAATTACCCCCTCAATTACTGACCCAGGCGCGTAAAAAAAATGGGTACTAATGTCTTTACACATAAAATAGGACCTATTAATCCAACAAAAAAACGTCAGGGCTAAATGAGTTAATATTCCCAAATTAAAGATTTAATGATGTTTCCTCTTATTTTTGTCTATAGCACTTTCTTTTAGGAAATGAATCAAAATTTAATTTATAGACCTATTTTTAAAATTTAATAATATGTAGATAATTAACTAATTATTAAAAAAAATATAAAATTTGAATTTTATGTTTTGACAGAATGACACCTTACCTAGTTTGGGAAGACTAAATAAGTGCACTTTTTGACGTTTTATGAAATATGGGTTGAGTTTGGGTTAGGTTTGAAGTGATGTGTTAGAGATGTGATGTGACTAAAATAGGATAGTGACTTTTTGACTTTTGTCTTTTTGCAATCATGCCAAACTTGGCTTTCTGAGCAGCCTCAATGAGCTTTCTATCCATTATTTAGATGGGGTACAAAAACTTTTGAACCCATAGCCGGTTGGAGAAATATTATGGATTTTGAAAGAAATATCATGAAATCTTTTATGAAGATTTTTTCTTCTTTAATTAGCGTGTGATATTATTTTTATAGCATTGTTAGGTATCATGAAAAACCTTTCATGAAAATAATCATGAAAGTTTTGTGACCCTTGGATTATATTTAGAATAAAGTACCACACACTAATCAAAGTAATCCAAAGATCATAACTCTTTCATAATTATTTTGATGAAAAGTTTTCATGATCCTTAACTTTTCTCTTATTTTTATGTGTAATCCAATGATGAAAATTCTTTCATGATCATTTTTGTAATATTTTTTTTATAATACCTAACATTATTCAACTGGTTGTCTAGCATTATGTGCTATGGTGTGTTAAAATATTTTAATAAAATTTACTTTTATTGGTTTGGCCAAAAAATAATGAGAGATGTACTAAAAACCAAACATCTTGCACCCCGATCAACATTTCTTCTATCTAATTATAAATACTTAATTAGCAAATGGAGTGAAAATATTATCAATTGAAAAAACATATTAGAAAAACTTAATGAGTAATTGCATCTTGAAAAGTAAGAATAATTGAAGGGTAAATTACATCATTTGGGAGTAAACATTTCAGTTTAAAATTCCAAAAGTCATTAAAAAAAATTAAAAAAAAAATAAATTATACAAAAAAAATAAAAAATTTCATTTTCTCTTTACTTTTTTCATTTTTTTTTTTTTGTGTAAAAATTAATAAGTCGTCCTAAAATATACTAGTTTTTTGTACCTTATATTTTAGCTAAAAAATAATTTTTTTTTTTTTACTAAAATAGCTTATTCCCAAATGAGTAGTTTCAATTTGAACAATTTGATCTACATACTTTTAATTTTTTTGCAATGTGGTCCCTTCATTACTAGTCTTAAAATTTAGAATGGAAAAAAATTGTATGTAAAATTAGGAGGACCAAAATAGATTTAAAACAAACTACAGTGACTATTGGCTCTCTAGTTTTGTATGTGATTTTTTTTCATTTAAAATGTTAACAACACATGATAGTTACATTGCAAAATTAAAAATGTTGACATTAAATTATTCAAATTGAAACTACGAATGAAAGTGAAATTTCATTCAAACTAGAGGGAATGATCTCAGCTTATGCCTCTTCATACGAGTAATTAACTGGTCTTTTAAGATGTTTAAGGTGATAATGTGCTCATCCAATAATAACATGTATTTACATGACCTTAAAAAATAAAAAAAAATAATAAAACATGATTGGCTGGGCATACAATCCTATGGTATTCTTAGAATGCTTGATAATTTTTTATCATCATATTCTTTTAGCCATTGATCACTCGGCAGAAATGGTTAGTTTAGAAATTGACATTTTTAATGATTTTTTAGTTTTTTACAAAAATATATATAAAAAATAAAAAGAATGATTTAATAATTTGTAGTGATTTTTTGAATTTTTAACAGTTTTCGAGTTCTCAATTCATATTTTTTTTTAGTATTTTTTTTAATATTTTAATATTTTTTTTTTTCGTTTTTTGCTTTTTAGAAAGGTACAAAGTTTGTCATTTTTTTTTTAAATTCACTAAATAACAAAAAAAAAATACAAAAATTCATTATATATATATATTTGTATTTACTAAAAAAAAATAGATTTCTTCTCAAATATTTTACACTTTAATAAATTTAGATTAACTGTATCTAAACAAAAAAATAAAAAATAAAAAATTAACTAAAATACGAAAAAAGTATACTAAAGTCTAAAGACAACAAAATACAAAACACAAAGAACTCAAAAATTATTTTTGAAGATTCAAAATCAAATACAAGTGTCGTCTATTCCTCTTTTGTTCAACCATGCAAGCCAGATGTGTCACAACTCACTCCCCGTACCTAAGGGTTAAGTATCGTGATGGCCAATAACTGAAGTTACCTCTGGCCAATTTTTAAATAAACAAATAAACGCAAGCGGAAGTAATATTAAAATGAAGGTACCAAAATAATCATCGGAGTTTCTATTTTTATTACAAAATATATTGGCAAAAAATGTCGATATTTACATATAAAAATATCTTAAAAGTGTTGTGTGTGTTTATTTCACAGCCCCGCAATCTAAGACTTCCAAAAGCTATTTCTGAATTGCATTGTTTCCTGAAAATTGGTAAGCAACTATTAGCACTTGGCAGAATGAGAAATATTATACCAAGAGTATAAGCGATACAAAATAACCATGAATAGTTAATTAGGCCAAAACATTTACATAACTCAATTTCGTAAATAAATCATTGGTAAACAAATCATTTAAGTGGCAGAAACTAAAATATAGAAATTATGTAAATAAATAACCATAACCACGGTGCCAAACAGAACAGAACAGAGGTCACAAGAGTAACAGTCAGAACAGAGGTACGGACTCAAGAAGTGGCTCGTACGGACTATAGAGGTGGCTCCCACAATAGTGTAGCATTTATCTCTGCACAGCACTTTGCTCCGCACAAAACATAGGTCAATGGATCCATGACAAACAAAAGACCACAAAGTGGCCAAACAGAAGCCAATGGTTATTTAAGTCCCCCAACCCATGGCACTCCCGTAGTGGTACTTACAAAACATAATTGTATATAAGGTTATAATAAAATATTCTTTAAAAGTAAAACAAACATATCCATAGGTTTCTTTTTAAGCAAATGGGGTTCAGAAAATAATCCATGTAACTGAAATATTAATATAGTTTATAATAATTTATAAAACATAACTTGTATAAAATAAATATGGTAAGTCAAAACATACGTAAAATAAATTATAGTGACTTAAGGTATAATATAAATCACTTTAACTTTAATACCTCACTCTTTTTTTTACTATCAAAAATCTTTTCAGCTCCTATTATTTTTTATTCCTTTCTTTCCTTTCTTTCACTCTTCTTTCTTTCTGTCATTTCTTTCTTTCTTTTTCCTTTTTCCACCTTTTCTTTCTTTTTCTCTCGCCGAGGTGAACCCGCTTCTCCTTAAATAGGGAGGAGAAACCATTCTCTCGCCAACACGTGGCCAGGCCAAATCATTTCGCAGATTCGTTCATTAATTTATAGATTTATACTTCTTTTTTAATAAATATTTAAGATAATTATATTTTAATTTAATATTTTAATAAAACTGTATATATTAATTAATTCTTCATTAAATTATATTTTATCATATACCAACATAAAATTAATTATTTATTTTCCTATCACATCCATTATTGTTATTATTATCAATATTATTATTATTATTTATATTTTGACCCCTAAACTTTTAATAATTATATTATTTTACAAAATTACACATAATAATATATAATAAATTATATATTTTTCTAACTGTAATTAAATAATATTAGTATAAATTCTACAGAATAATTAAAAATATGAATTGTTAGAAGATGCCCCATAACATTTAGATCTTGCATTTGATACACTATTTTTCTGTTTTTTCATTCTGTTCTCTAACAACATTAAAATTTCTAATAAAGATTTAGACCTCTTCCTTAAGAAAATTATTTAGATAAATCAATTTAAACCAAAAAATTTTCCTTTCAGCAGCCTCATTCATCACATAGACAATGGAAACTTGAAACTTTTTTTTTTTTTTTTCCTGGCTTCCATTCCCTGGCTAGCTGGCCAATTTCTCTTACTACAACTAAATATCGATTCGTTCTAAATTTGCTTATGCTAGGTGAACCAAATTATTGATAATTATGAATCATATACCGATTCCTTGGCAGACAATAAAAAAAATGAAAAATAACAAATTTTTTTAAGAAACATAAATAGTACTTGGCCTAACAAAGCAAGTTGAATGACAGTGCTCTTTTAACTTTCACCGAATGAACTTAATATAGTTCTTCCAGAACTAGTATCTATCAAGACAATGGAAGTAACAATTCCAAATAAGTAGATTTTTTTCCTAGCATACACACATTTGTGGACACACACACACACACACACACACACAGAAAGAAGAAGAAGAAGAAGAAGAAGAAGAAGAAGAAGAAGAAGAAGAAGAAGAAGAAGAAGATTAACATTTTCACTTTACACACTTTCTTGATTCTAGGCCATACTGCAGTCCTTGCCTTCTTCTGATAGTTCCTTGCCACCCTGGTTGTAATCAGTATTAGTATGGGTAAGAGGGAGGAAATAACAGTAAAGAAAATCCACAACTTGTCATTCGATGTAATGGCAGCCATACAAGTATCATATGTTACTATGTGTGCAAACATTGCAATTTGCAATTCCAATTGCAAAAGGAATCTACTTGTGAGGCAATAGATCATTTGAAGAGAGGTAAAAAACCCAATTGGGTTGAATAAAATGAACAAACCATAAGATACCCAATTTTTAGAACCCATGATTGCCTGTCCTGCTTTATGTGGTTTAGAAACATTGTTGTTGATATTGTTGTTGCTAGACATAGAATCATCGGCCCACACACCACCTAGAGGACTATGCACGGTTTGATAGGTTGCAATTGCGATAAGTACAGCTATCACAAGCATGGTGTGTCGTGCTTCACTTGGTGAATCTCTATCCATGTTGTACCCGAAGTAGTCTAGCACCCGTTTAGCAGGAGATTGAGGTTGATGATTCGGTGTTGATTGGTCACTTGAAGCGTTAATTGCAACAATAGCTTGATTTTGATTCATTCCAGTTTGTGTTGAAGAGTGCAACTCTTCTCCCTTCATAGCTCTGGCTTGCCTAAGGATCTCCTCGATTTCTCTATTGCCTGCTTCGCTTTGGGAAAAGAGCAAAACATCAAGAGCCACTACAAGAAATAACACCTTTGCCGACCAAAAAATTGGTCGCTAAAAGCCCATTTTTAGTCAGCAAAAGTTATCCGTGACCAATTTTTTTAGTCGCTGCTTTGGTTGCCAATTGAGGGTCGGCAAAAGTAATTCGTAACCAAAATTTTTATTGGTCGGAAAAAGTTAGATTTGCCGACTAAATTTTTGGTCGCTAAATATATCATTACTGCGACTAATCCATTTAGTCGCTAAAACAATTTAGTCGCGAAAAGTGACTTATTCCCGACCAAACATGTTAGTCGCCAATTGTCACATTCCACGACCAAAAAATTTGGTCGCCAAATATCACATTTCACGACCAAAAAGTTTGGCCACCAATTGTCACATTCCATGACCAAAAGATTTGGTCACCAATAATCACATTCCATGACTAAAAAATTTGGTCGCCAATTGTGACATTCTAAGACCAAAAAGTTTGGTCGCCAAAAAGAATGTTTCCACTAACATGCAACAAAATAAACATGTAATTTATAATAATCTATCCAATCTATTCAATACAATCTGTAATTTATAATAATCAATCAAACCAACAATTCACCTAAATCATGAACATTCAACAAACTATATAAATCATCAAACTCTGAACCTGTTTAATTAAAGTCAACAACTATTATAAGTTTTCATTCACAAGTAATTCCAAACTACATATTCCTTCAATTAAAAATCCGCTTATAATCTATATAATCATCCAATTCACATCCATTTAGCATTAAAATTTAAAACATATTCCTTAAGTGAAGAGTAGAACTCCCTTCACAGAGCATCAATAGCTTTCATTGATTGAGCAGAAACAAAATTCTTCCGACAGTATTCATATCTAGCTACGTCTCTTTCAGCTTCTTTCTAGGCCTCATAAGCCCGAACAAGAGCAAGGTGATCACTGTAATCGCGTGAAAATTGTGCTTTTGCTACTTCTACTAGCTGCAAAGAGAAACACACACAAATCAATTAGTGAAACAGATAAGACAAGACACTCAATTATCCAGCAAAAGCTATCTATTAGTGAAACCACAACTAAAATATCCAGTTAACAACTATAGACATAAAATTATAATAGCATAAAAAGTTGAGAAAAATCATGACGGATCCAAATATTAAAGTTATAATAGCATTGGGCTGCTAAAGGGACAGGAAAGGGAAACAAAATGACACTCTGGCACACTGTCAATGAAGATTTTGAAGTAGAAAAACATGAATCATCCATTATAATTTTTTGATATTGGCATTGAACACAATGAATGATGAGAATCCACCACCCACTTTATTTTTACCTAAATTATATACATATCAACTTGTTGTGCTGAGTAGGGAAAAAAATTTACAATGATGATATGACATGAATTATGGATACATGATATATTACTCAGTAATTATTATATAAGTATAATAACAAATCTCACTACATGTAAATGTGACAGGACTACATGTAAATGTGACAGGCACACATTACATCAAAATAGAGCATAAGCCAGAGCTAGCCATTGCAACCAAGGCTGCAACCCTAGCTGCAGCAAGACCAGGCCAGGTCAACACAAGCAAGGCTGTAGTACCGGCCGCAGCCAGAGCAGCTAAAGTCAGAACAGATAGGGCTGTAGCTTCAGTCATGCTCACGTGTTATAAAGAGAACTAGCATAGCTGTTTCAAGTAGTTAGGCTGTTAGAATTAAACCGTGGTTAGATTAGTTTGTTATGATTAGATTAAATATAAAAGCACTCAATCTTTGTAATCAATTCATCAATCATGGTTTTTGCTGGGTTAAAGGAATCGAGCCTAACAAGTGTAAGGATACTATAGCTTTGAGTACAATAAGAAAGAAAGTTTTGATGCAAAAGAAAAACTCAGTAAAGATTGAAACCTCAAGGCATGCAATTTTTAGGCATCTAAAATAGCTATCAAAACACAAGTAGTTAGAAGAGGCTATTCATAGTGCTGGAACAGGTAAACCAGATACCAGCCTAACCTTTCCCAGTACTTGCACGAAAGAGAAAATTCACTAGAGAATGTCACCTCCACATCCCTATGCATGAAATTCATGAGACCCTCATGGTGATTGTTGTGATGAGCACACTTGGGAGCTTTAGCGGGGAGCTGCAGATAGTTAGGTCCAAGACGGTGCCTCTGGGTATCAGCATAGGAGAATATCCGAGTTTGAAACAGCTTATCATCTGAATAGTAGACACCAGGTACGATGATAGTAGGGCAAAATGCACGCTGCTCATTCTCTGCAAAGAAGTTATCAATGTTCTTATTCAAGACCAAGCGGCCCATAGGCTGCAGGGGTATCATGGGTGACCTCAAAAAAACCCTTTGCACTGGCCTTGCTTGCATGGACAACACGTTTTGGGATACGCTCCCTGTCAAAATTGGCAAGTTTCTCCACCAAATGATAATCCCCAAGAAGAATTGGACCCGACAAGTGGAGTAAATTTATATTATACATCATTATGCTAAGCAAAATTTTGAATGGCAGCACTTGAAGAGTTAAAGCAAACAGAATATTAGTCTCTTAGTATTGCACCACTGATTTCAGCTGTCCACCGTTAATAATTTCATTGCCGAAATATATTAAGAAGTATGTATCTACATCTCAAGCACACATGGCAGATGTTGTTTGAACATCACATGGTTATAGCTTTCAAACGAAAAAGCCACAAAGTTTGCCAATTGATTTCAGAAAGAAACCTCTCTAAATCCCTCATGAACAATAGGGAGTTCTCATGCATATAATTAACAACAATTTGATAAATGAAACAGTTCATAATTTTAAAGACAATATAGAATGACTTAAATGCCCTTGATTCTACATTAATTTTAACACGAAGCACTTAGATCTATGCATATGCTGACATTTCAAGAATAAACAGTAGACATTTTTATATATCAGAAGATACTACGTGAAAACATTCTAGCTAGAGCGAAAAAAATAAACTTGAAAACCATAATTGGCAACAATAGAAACAGACGAGTAAACAAAAATCTTTAGATAGCTGCAAGCTCCAGAATATGAATCTTCTAAATTTCGTACTTGGAGAAGGCAAGTTCAAAACTTATTACAACTCTTCATATTGGCTATCTGTCAATATAACATCTGGTATATATATCACACAAGTTAAAGAATATTTACAAGGAATATTCTGGACACCCAAATGACAAGAATGATAAGATGACTGTCATAATTTTTTTTTGCTCCCCTTTTACAATCACAAGGCAATTACAAATTTATAATTCTAAAGTGCTCTGAAACATGGTTCACACAAAAAACTATACTCCATCCATATCTAAACAAATTGAACAAAACAACAATACATACATATCAAACACGTTAAAAAGATCTCGTCAAACAGAGAGTAATCATTGACTAGCTAAAAAAAAAAGTCCTATCATCAAAAACATACAACTCCGGGGACTGATAAAACATTGTCAGGTTCACAAATTAGAACGGATAGATAGTATAGATAAATAAACAAGGAGGAAATCCATAGTGTACACCTCTGAAAAGGGACACATTGTAAGAAAGTTATTATTTTTTTTGTGGTGAAAGTTACTAATTTTGTGGCATGTTATGCCAATTTGGGGTAAAAGTTAAAAATAGGAAATTTAGTGATTAGAATATCAGCTATTGATACATCAGAGCATCAAGGCCTACAGCAGAGGGTGCACCAACCAAAGAGGTTCTTGAAGTAAAAGTTATACTTTTTGTGGTTTGGAAAAAGTCATTTTTTTTTGTGGTGAGAAAAGTTATAGCATTATGTTACAAAATTTTATAATATTGTTATGAAGTGCATGGCATTTCCCTAATCAAGAGAGACCAGTACTCGAAAATCTGAAGATAGAAAACCAAACAACATAGATAAAACAATCACCACAACTCTGTTTGGTTTATAAGAAAGCATAAAATGAAATCTGTTTGCTTATCCCGTTTTCAAAATGGGATTTTGAGTTTTCAGTTCGTATTTTTTTATTTTTGATGAATTTTTAAAAATATTTTGGTCAATTTTTTTTAGATGCATCTAATCTACAATACAAGAAATAACACCTTTGCCGACCAAAAAATTGGTCGCTAAAAGGCCATTATGTTGACTAAACTCACCATTTCATGGTATCACCAAGCTTGTACATTAAAAACTGAGGACCACCTATGTACTAAGTTAAAAATAAATATGTTAAAGTATACAAAAAAATTAAAATGGGACTCTTGTTAAAATGTTGGCCATGTAACAGCTCTATGAAAAACTCCAATGGACTAGCTAAGCTAAAAAAGTTGTTTGATGTCTCACCATTTTTGTGATGAGACATACATGTGGTTTAAAGACTGGTTTATTTATTGCATACATCTCCCGTTTAGTGATTTTAGGAACTTATAATTTATGTTGTTGACATTTTGGGTTTCCTATTTAGCTCAACTATTGGATACTTGCATAGGCATGATCCTAACCAACCAAGGAATACCTTTCAAGACTTCCCTCATTAGAACCAACTTGGGAAATTTATTCATGTCCTTCTCTCATCCATAATGTCTTTATGAAATGGTTACGATGGCTCTTCTACTGTGCCTGAGTTTATGTAATTCTATATTAAGTAATTGGGATATTGCCATTGTATGTGCTTTAGGATTGGGGGTTGAGAGAGATTGTTTTTGTGATGGAAAGAAAAAAGAAATGAAGTATGGTGATAAGACTGTCAATTTACCCCATGTTTTCTTATCACCCATTAGTCGGATTTATATCCTCTCCTCTAGTCATTGTTAATTTTTTCATAATTGGAATAAGTACAAATCTCCCAAATTCTGCTAAAATCAGATTGTGTTGATTGTAATGAGCTCCTTATAGAAGTGATCTGGACCATTTTCTAAAGGCACTGCACAATACAGAGCAACATGAATGGATAACCTGCATTTGCGGTAACTAGTAAAGCAAAGCAAAGCATGAATGGCTGTAATTTTGATAATTGTCAGGAGAGGTCTTTGTAATTTGCCCTTTAAGATTTTTGATGAAATACCCAAGTTACTTGGGTGTGCTAAAGTATTGGGTTGCTGCGATTTATCAACTAACATTCAGGTGGGTAGCTTATTGTTGTTTTCAAAAATCTTTTTCCCTAGAAAATGTTTTCAAGATGGCAACCAAACAACAGAAAATAAGTAAATCATAACCATTTTACCTGAAAAAGTTTTACGTCAAAACAAATGGAGCCTTAATAAAATTTTTAACACCAGCTTTATCCTTAGTCCAAGGTTTTATAAGTAACAAATATGATAAGATGCACCAAGTATTTCAGTTTTGGGTTATCTATTAAAATAAAAACAGAAGAAAAACAAAGAAAAAAAAGAGACCATCATCTCCAATATCCAAAACTGTAATTCACGTTGAAACAGTCTCCATCTAAAAAGAAAAAGTCTTAATCCATGTTTGCAGTTTCTTATCATTTTCCTAATTGCTTCTATAGTTTGTTCTGGGAGTCTTTCAGAAGTGTTCTAGGAAAAACAAGCTAGTCGAGATGCGCTTGATCCTTATTAAGATTGTCAGTACGTTGTAAATGAACCAAGCACATGCTATGTCTAGATCACACTAGAATAGATATGAAGCACACATAAAACAGTATATTCAGAGAGGAGACAGAAAATAAACAGAGTAAGATAAACAGTATGTAGGACAGAATAATCAGGCATACGAGATCAGGGCCGATTAAACAGTATGTGGATATCACGATTGGCCAAACTAAGTCTTCGGATTCGGAGCCCCCTTTGGTGTATGACATCACAAGGCCGATTAAAGTCTCCGGATTCGGAGCCCCCTTTGGTGGATGACACCTTAGGGCCGATTAAAGTGTTTGGATTCGGAGCCCCTTTGGTGCATGACACCTTTGGGCCGACTAAGTCTCCGGATTCGGAGCGCCCTTCGTAAATATCATGATTGGCCAAACTATATCTCCAGATTCGGAGCCCTCTTTGGTGCAAGACACCTTTGGGCCGACTAAGACTCCGGATTCGGAGCGCCCTTCGTGGATATTACGATTGGCCAAACTAAGTGTCCAGATTCGGAGCCCCCTTTGGTGCATGACACCTTAGGGCCGACTAAGTCTCCGAATTCGGAGCGCCCTTCGTGGATATCACGATTGGCCAAACTAAGTCTCCGGATTCGGAGCCCCCTTTGGTGCAAGACACCTTTGGGCCAACTAAGACTCCAGATTCGGAGCGCCCTTCGTGGATATCACGATTGGCCAAACTAAGTCTCCGGATTCGGAGCCCCCCTTTGGTGTATGACACATTAGGGCCGACTAAGTCTCCGTATTTGGAGCGCCCTTCATGGATATCACGATTGACCAAACTAAGTCTCCGGATTCGGAGCCCCCCTTTGGTGCATGACACCTTAGGGCCGACTAAGTCTCTGAATTCGGAGTGCCCTTCGTGGATATCACGATTGGCCAAACTAAATCTCCAGATTCGGAGCCCCCTTTGGTGTATGACACCTTAGGGCCGATTAACGTCTCCGGATTCGGAGCCCTTTTTAGTGGATGACACCTTAGGGCCGATTAAAGCCTCCAGATTCGGAGCGCCCTTTGGTGCATGACACCTTTGGGCCGACTAAGTCTTCGGATTCGGAGTGCCCTTCGTAGATATCATGATTGGCCAAACTAAGTCTCCGAATTCGCAGCCCCCTTTGGTGCATGGCATCTTTGGGCCGACTAAGACTCCGGATTCGGAGCGCCCTTTGTGGATATCACGATTGGCCAAACTAAGTCTCCGGATTTGGAGCTCCCTTTTGGTGCATTACACCTTGGGGCTGATTAAAGTCTCCGCATTGAAACGCCGGTTACGGAGCCCCATCGGCGCAAGATGTCTTTGGGCCGATTAAGACTCCGAATTCGCAGCGCCTCTGATGCATAACACCCTAGGGTAGATCGTACCTCCGAATTCGGAGCACCCTTCGGTACAAACAAAACGAAACAACACATGCCAACATTCGAAATAAGGTGCTTAGCTAAAAAAAAAAAAAAAAATCCAGAGTAAGATGCAAATGTTTGAAATAAAACTTTTTATTTGATTAAACAGTTGTTACATAGACGCAATCCGCGTTCGAACTTTACAATATCTATCTTTAACTTCTAAGGCGAAAAGGGGAATTAATCACGTTGATACATTGGAGGCCCCGAATCAATGCACGTCATTTGGAAGGCCTCCGCGGCTCAAAATGCCTTGATCCAACCGTGCCCAAATCAGTGTATCTCTGGACCTGCCTCTGACACCATCGACAATGTCAAGGCCAAGATCCAAGACAAGGAAGGTCAAGGGCAATGGTCGTTGTGTCTCCTTTCGGGGCGATCTGCTTCGACGACTTGGAGGCTGACGCACCTCCCGTTTCTTTTTTAACGACCTACCTTCCACACCGAAGAATTCTCCGTTGCGATCCATTACGGCATCAAGCTCGGCCAAAGTTCGAGTTTGGCTGATTAAAGAAACTCTGTTTTACATCCACAATATTATATAACCCCACGCAATAAATGGCGTTATATTAATAAGGTCACTCACACGAAGAGTCCATTCCATTTATTTTTAAATGCTGGCAGTGACCCCGAGGCAATTTCATTAACGCCAAAACCCCAAGAGACGAACTTCGGTTGACATTCACCACGACCTGGGTACCCGAACGACTTTTTGGAACACATGCACTGACTGGGACAGGGACAGCGTTATCAATCCAACCGGCCAAGCATTTAGACCCCGCGCCGACTAGAATTTGCCACAGCCACTACACGGACTAGCTTTTGGCCTCTTGAAATTACAGTGGCCACATTCAAGGATAAACGACCATCACGATTGGGCCAACCCCGCCTATAAGCCGGCGTATCACTATACGATCAATGTTTGTACATTCATTCAAGCATCCATGTAATAAAACGAAACACGTATATACCGAATACGAACTACGACGGAATATTTATAATAGAATGTTTCTATTCAATTCAATAATAAATTACATAGTTTTTATTCAACCTTACAATGCATATTCTTATACGGCATCACCCTCATCCTCACTTTTCACGACTTCAAAAGCGGAAAACAAAAAATGTTTATTGTGGTAGAGTGGCAATGTTGAATCAATGTCCGACGCTCGAAGAGCTTCCGCGGCTTGAGATGCCTTGATCCAACCGTGCCTAAATCCACGATTCTCACATCGGCGAACCTCTTCAGTAAGTTTTTCCTTGGTCTTTTCGATTCCAACTCTTCGGCCTTCATGAAAACCTTTTTCATAGGCCCTCCCCTTGGCAGACTCCATTGTAAACATACTCACCATCTCACGATCGGTGAGTGCGACACTGATGAGCCGACTGGTAACCTTTTCCTCCACAATTGGGTTTCCCTGCCCAGCGGGTTCTGCCTGAGCCGTCCTAGTCTTCCTTAACTCACGCTCAACTACCTCCGCGCGAGCCTCCAAACTTCGAATACGTTCCTCCTTCTTCTCCAATTCTTGACGGGCAGCGCATAGCCGCATGCCAACTTTATAGGCAGTGTAAAGCCCCTTCACCACCCCGTGAATGCCTTTGCGAAATACGTCATAGTCCTGGCAACCTATCATTGACTGCTGCACCTCAGAAGGAAAAATTTGTCGAGCAAACTCGACCGCTACATTTGGGTCCCGAACGATCGAGTCCGCCTCCATCATGGGTTTGTTCCCCACAAATACCACAAAGCTTAATGGGTACGGATTCGCGTTAGATCCCCTCTCGCCTCGGAGTTACGGAGATCTGCCCTGCGACTACTTATCCCGCCTGGGTGACCTGCTTCGACGTCGAGGAGACTGACGCCTCTTTCAATCCCTAGAACTCCTACTTCCTGTGCGTGAAGGTTCACCACCTCGATTCATGTCTCCGCCCAGCTCAGCTAGCGTCCTCGCTTTCCCTCTGCTGTTAAAGAAAAGTCTGTTCGACATTCACACGATAAATCTTCCTCCAAGAGCTGTAGTCAACTGTTTACTAAGCTCATAAAGGTTGTACCTTTGTTCATTTATCCTTTACAGAGGCAGCGCCCTCGAGGCAATCTCATTAATTGAAAAAAACCTCAATTGTCCGGCGCCCGAATGATCATGCACCCCTTGGGGCAAGGGCAGATTCATCAATATATTCGGCTTAAATGCCCCAGACGGTTCATGAATCGACTTCAAAATTCTTAAGGCCGTCTCATCCGGCTCCCGAACGATCATGCACCGCCTGGGCAAGGGCAGATTCATCAATCTATTCGGCTCAAGTGCCCCAGACGGCTCATGAATCGACTTCAAAATTCTTAAGGCCGTTTCATCTGGCTCCTAAATGATCATGCACCACCTGGGGCAAGGGCAGATTCATCAATCTATTCGGCTTAAGTGCCCCAGACGGCTCATGAATCGACTTCAACATTCTTAAGGCCGTCTCATCCGGCTCCCGAATGATCATGCATCGCCTGGGGCACGGGTAGATTCATCAATCTATTCGGCTCAAGTGCCCCAGACGGCTCATGAATCGACTTCAAAATTCTTAAGGTCGTTTCATCCGGCTCTCGAATGATCATGCACCCCCTGGGGCAAGGGCAGATTCATCAATCTATTCGGCTCTTGTTCCCCAGACGGCTCATGAATCGACTTCAAAATTCTTAAGGCCATCTCATTCGTCTCTCGAATGATCATGCACCACCTGGGACAAGGGCAGATTCATCAATCTATTCGGCTTAAGTGCCCCAGACAGCTCATGAATCGACTTCAAAATTCTTAAGGCCGTCCCACCCGGCTCCCGAATGATCATGCAACGCCTGGGGCAAGGGCAGATTCATCAATCTATTCAGCTCAAGTGCCCCAGACGGCTCATGAATCGACTTCAAAATTCTTAAGGTCATTTCATCCAGCTCCCGAATGATCACGCACCGCTTAGGGCACAGGAAGATTCATTAATCTATTCGGCTCAAGTGCTCCAGACGGCTCAGGAATCGACTTCAAAATTCTTAAGGTCGTTTCATCCGGCTCCTAAATGATCATGCACCCCTTGGGGCAAGGGCATAATCATTAGTCTATTTGGCTTAAATGCCCCAGACGGCTCATGAATCGACTTCAAAATTCTTAAGGTCGTTTCATCCGGCTCCCGAATGATCATGCACCCCCTAGGGTAAGGGCATATTCGTCAGTCTATTCGGCTTAAATGCCCCAGATGGCTCATGAATCGACCTCAAAATTCTTAAGGTTGTTTCATCCGGTGCCCGAATGATCATGCACCGCCTGGGGCAAGGGCAGATTCATCAATCTATTCGGCTTAAATGCCCCAAATGTCATCAATATATTCGGCTTGAATGCCCACAATACTCGGTATATGAGTGATAAATCAATATTGTCATGAGATATTCAATCTCTGAAAGCTCAAACACAACAATGATTTTATCCAAAGTAGTTAAAGGCAAAACATTCTTCATTAACATAACTTCACAAACTGTGTACAAGTGGTGGTGCAATAACAAAGAAATTTTCATTAATAAATTGAGTGCATATAGTAACCAATTTATACATGAAAACTACCTTGAACCAACAAAAGTCTAAGTCTACCGAACAAAAACTTACATCGGAATTAAAAATACTTAATAAAATTGAAATGTGTCCTAGATCAATCCTCGGGGTCAGATTCGAGTGGCTCAACGTCCACTTGCTCGTAGGGA